GTGTTAATTGCTTCTCTCATATCTCCATTCAATTGGTGGGACTAATCCCCATAAATTTCCCTTTGGCAAGTTTCCCATTTTCTTCCACCTGTAGCAACCGTTTACTAAGTTTGCTTTGTCAACTATGGGTACTGAGTTCCTCTTCTCAACATAGCCACCTGCAATTGAAACTACTATGTATTAAGCTGTAAAATAAGTGATTAGAATTTAGTAATAATATCTTTATTTCAAGTAAGTATTCCTTGAAATAAAGATATTAGTTATTATTATGGGTGAAACAAATAAGTGAACTGACAATGACATATGTGATTATTGTGATGGAGCAAAAATTGTGATGTCATGTGAGCACAGGGAGGTTTTTTAACCCAAGGGTCAGCAGGGTCAGCGAAAGGTTGCCTAAGAAGTTACCATCAGTCCTTAGAGTCTGGGTAAGTGAGGACAATCCAGCACTACAAATGTGTAACAAAACATAAAGAGCATAAACATGGGAAAACATTTATGCAAAAGGATAGTCAGGAGTGTTGGACCTTCTGCTCAGAGGGAAATTAATGTACTGTACCATAAAAATTATGTCAATTTATTTAAAATATTTAATCTTAGAAACACTTAAAATGTGGGAATAATTGAGTTTCAACTTTCATGATGCTTTCCCTGGACTCAAAAAAGAAATGGTGAAAAATTACATTTATTATCAGTAGCTGTTCAAATTAGTCATATATATGTTCTATTGCTTTCCAATCATACTAATTTCTTCTATGACCTCTGAAGTAGCCACTCCAATGTTATATTCACTTAGCTCATGCTATTTTCCTCCAATGTCTACCTAGAAAACCATTGTCCCTTTCTGAAAATGCATATCCTATATTTCTTTAGACGAAAGCCTAGTTCTGACTGGTTCACTAACCTTTAACTCTCACAGATGAGAGCTTTTTCTTTCTCTGTCACCAAGTAGAGGAAGATACAGTGTATGGTCATATGGTATATTGTCATAAGCATTAATCGAGGAATTGACAATATAGAGTAGAATATTTTTTAAAAATTTATTGTCTTGGATGATTGCTTCCAACAATGAGAGGTGAACTGAGATACATATAAATCACAGGAAAAGCTTTAAAAACATTCTTGAACTTGGAGCACCATGCTTTCCAAAGCCTGTTAAGAAAATGAGATATGAGAATTTGTATAATATTGTCTAAATTATGTTGATTTACACACCTTTATTAACAACCCCTTCACTCTTTGGGAGGCATAGGCTTTGTGCTATAGTTGCATTTGTAGAGCTTTGTTCAAAGGGTCATAAACTTAATAAGCAATAGGTTGAAACGACAATTTGGAGTAAATAGTTAAAGGTCATGATCTAACATTTATTTTTGGATCAAAGTGTAGTAGAAGCTGCTGGAAGTCTGTGGCTGGAGAAGTATTGTGAAGAAGGAGTCTAGGTCTGTGTGTAAAACATGGTAGGAAAGGGGAAGCTAAACATTTAAAACAGAAATGAACCATACCTAGGGAAAGACCTTTCCAATAAAGAATTATAAAGTGTCTTTGTAGATTTAAGAAATAAAAAACATAAGGGGGACCAGCAGAAGTGGGGAAAGGGGAAAAATACAGAAATTGTGAATGTGGTTATGATCAAAATACATATGATGTTATCATAATGAAACCCATGATTTTATACAAATAATAAGCAAATATGGTCACAAGAAAAAAGAAAAGAGCAGAAGTAAATTTGAGCCCCAGAAATATTTGAATTTGAATCCAGTTCTTTCAGTTATACATTGTATGACCATACACAACTAGTGTTAATAAAATATGCCTATTTTGATATGAAAATATATTAAATATTATCCCCAAATAATAGGTATTGTTTGGTCAATATTAGCATCATATTATTATAGTCAATAATTGGGGATTTTTATTATTATTTTAGATAAAAACAAAAATTGTATCATACTAAGAACTATGGAAAATTTGAAGTTCATTAAATGTATGCATTATTTAGTGTTTAAAATCTACTTGTGGAGACTCTATACAGTAAGACTTCAAATCCCATTAAAAATGTGTTCAACGACATGATACTATTCCCATGACAGTATTCATAACCAGGCTACATTTTTAGACATTCACTTTGTCTATGAACTAAAGCTATCTGAGAAGATTATGTTTCCCCTTTTCTGTGTAGGGGAAACTTAAGGTTAGAGAGTTGAAGTGTTTTGCATGTTGCCACACCACTGTGTTGAGAGTCTAGGATTTGAACCAAAGAACACCTGCCTTCACAGAATATCCCTTTTTTGGTTTAAAGCATGCCTAAAATAAATGTTTGTGCTTAAACATTAGTCTTTCCTATCCACTCTATCTCCACCTAAATTGAAACTCTTATTTCCTCTCCTATTTTCTGCTACAGAACACTTTAATTAATCTCTGCATCTTTAGTTTTCTCTTCATTCATTTCTTACCATACCTATTTATTAACTGCTCTCTGCCTGGTAATGTTCCAGGTGTTGGAAGTACAGGCATGAGTCTATTTCTGCTTTTTCAGGGCAGTCACTATACTCAGGTTGAATAATAATAATAATAGTAATAATAATATGAAGGTAGAGAGGAAAAGTCCTCTAAGAACAGAAATCAAAAGTTAAACAGTATTGGAACAAGCAAGCCTGCAATGCTTCATGAAATTTTAAAAAGTCCAGATGACTGAGCCAAAGAAAGTAAGAATTCAGGAGAAAAATTACAAGAGAAAGGTAGGGTCAGCCCATGTTCAAGAACTTCTAGGACATGCTTAACATGTTACTATGAACTATGAGAGGCTGATATATTTGATAAATACCAATGAAAACTATTGGAAAGTTCTAATGGAGTAGTTAGTTAAAATAAGTTTTGTTTAATAGAGCAATGTGGCTGAATCAGTATTAGAATAACATATACAGGTTGTTTTAGCAAGAGCTCCTCTGTATTCATCCCAAACACTGTGTTGCCTTCACAGGGGACATCAACCATAAGGCTACTTCCTCACTCATGAACCCACAGAACCTCACTTTACACCGTAGTGGTTGCCTCCATTAGCAAGAGTGAGCAGTGGTGGCGGAAATGGTGGCAATTATGATCACAGTATAGTCTTCACTTCATAAGCCCTTGCCCTGTAGATCTCTTAATCTGTAAAGTACTTCACTTTTCACAAATTTAATTCTTACAGAGATTGCTTTATTTCTAACCCTTTATTTCTAATCTGTTTCTATCTCAACTGACATGAGTATTCTAGAAAACAGTTCTGGAAATCCTATTCTACAGAGTTAAGATGAAACTCTTTAGCATACTATTCACTTTTCTTGCTGCCACATAGAATTTACTCTTTGTGGATGGTTGTGTCTTCAGCTAGTTCTCATAGTTAATTCTATCAGTACTTTAAGCTTTATTTAGGTTCCACATATTTTTGTTCAGATTGCTGTCTTTATGCATTAGTATTCTGTGGCAGAATACCCAAGATTGGAAAATTTATAATAAAAAGAAGTTTATTTTGGCAGTTCTGGACCCTGAGTAGTCCAACAGCATGTTGCTGAAATCTGTTTGACTTCTGATGAGAGCCTCATGATACTTTAACCTATAGTGGTCGTCAGAACAACAAGCAGTCCTATGCAAAAGAGAAGAAAGGGAACTGAACTCACACAATAGACAACCCTTTCTTTCAAGAAAAGCATCAATCTATGCAAGAAAGTTCTGTCCCCATGACCCAAATAACTACCATTCCACTCTACTTCTCAATCTGCCACATTGAAGAATTAAGATTCAAGATGAGTGTTGATGGGGATAGATCATATTCAAACTATGATAGAAGTCTTCCTTGATTTTTTTTCATTAACAAAATCATTTTCTTTTGTCATCTTTTATGATATTGTTTCACACCTTTTGCATAGTACCTAGAGTTTGTTTGGGGGTATTTATTTCTTATTTTTGGTAGAGGAGTCCACATAAGAAACTCTGCCCCAATCCATCTTTATGCCTAACATAGTGTCTTAAATACAAAAAAAAAAAAAAATGAATGTCCATGTCAAGTTTATTCTTAACATGATAACTTCTATTCCAAAAGCTATATAATTTATGCTCGTGATTTGTTTGTAACCTCTTTTGAGTAATAACATTTTTTGAGCTTTACATATGACCTCTAATGTACCCCATGTAAATTTTTGTAACTGGTTCTAAGTCTTCAAATTTTATTGACTGAATGGTCAATTAAGGTTCCAGGTTGCAGAAATGTGGGTTAGAATATTTAAATCAACCCTAGAGCTTGATTTTGTAAGATTTCTCAGTTTCAAAATGTTTGTGAAATGCCTTATGCACTGACTAAAGAAAGAGAGTGAGGCCAGGCACAAGGCGATTCTCCAGTGGCTCTCTAAAAAGCTGAGATGCCACAATTGGGGTCAGAAACCTTAATCTTTGCTATCATAGTTTTTATTGCTCTGGCGTGTTTTGATACACTCCAGAGGGAACTGTCATCTGATCTTGCTTATTCCACAGGTCAGGAAACAGACTTCTAGAGGAAGTTGAAGCAAGAGGAGGTAAAGGCAATGTCCATTTTACTCAGTTTTAAAATTTCACTTGAAATATGTTAGTGTAATATCCTGTTTTATTTAATTATAGAAATGCAAGTAATCTGAGAAAAAAAAGTTATTATATAGAAGTGCACTGTGGCTTTGATATTTTTACTTCATTTATACAAACTAATGTTATGTACCAAATAAGTTGGATAAAAATATGAAATCCAAATTACACATTTTCATAAAACGTAATACCTAATAATTATAAAAATACCCTGCAGTTCAATATTGAAATTTCCTCCAATGGGCAGATAAACACTACGTAAATGATGTGGAAAATGTCATTTCATGGTTTAGGCAGAACAAGGCCAGATGAATTTATGTTCAAATTGCCTTACTATTTAAATCGTATATGCTCATAATTTTTTATTATTTGCCCATTGATTGTTGTACACTTCTGCCTGAGACTTTAAGTCTTGTTTGGTAACTGACACCTGAAGCTTGTTTGAGATTCAGTCAAATGGACAGAAAATAATTCACTGTCAAGCTTTCTGCTCTTGCAGGGAGTAAAAAACTAGAACAAGAGCCTAACAGACATGAATTTGGAAGACCACGAGAAATTCAAGATTTCACCATAGAGCACAGATATAAGTGTACATATGACACAGAAAAATTTACTCCATGCTTCAGAGAGCAAAGGGGAAGGATGAAATTTTAGTTCAAGCTGGGAAATTATTATAATATATCCTAATAATGTTAGTCTGCCAAAGTAAGATAAGTGAGTGTTATTCTTATTTTTCATCTTACAATTATTTGGGCTTACCATTCCAATAAGAGAAAAATAAGAGTTTGGCAAAATTTGAGCAGCAAATCTCAATTGTTTGAAGTTCTAGTGGAAA